TGACTCGCTCTGCGGCAGTCGTCGGCCCAGCCCTACGGGAGACATGAGGGCTGGCCGGCATTCGCCTTCTGTGAGATTAGGATAAACTAATCATTCTTCAACTGAGCTTTTTACTAAGACAAAGGATCCCAAATTCTTTCAGGCCCTAACGTGTCCCGTTTTTGCCTGGCTGGGACTGCAGTAACACACGCAATGCTCTTTTCCTAGAAAGGCATGTCCCGGGCATGGAGCTTTCTGGAATGCACCCCTGCATGCCCTGCAGGCCCCCAGCCTCCATCCTAGAACATGCACTGCCCTGAAAGAGCTGGGGGCAAAGGCGTCCATCCCCCACGACCTGGGTGCTACCTGGGGCCCACGCAGTGCCTGCTCGACCTGTCCCCATCGACACTTGGTACTCTGCGTGGGTCCATCCCCCATGCTCCTCCCCAGGGGGCACGGTCAGCACAGGGTGAGTTAGGTTAGCGGGAAGGGGTGTATACCTTCACCGTCTCTGGATTTCAACTGGAGGTCAATGCCTCCACACCCAGGTCCATCAAGCTAAACAACACAATCAGGGAGTTGACAAATGCTGCTGGGGTCCAGAGCACCCCAAAGGCCTCAGGGGTCCGAGTCCTCCTCTGTGACTGTCTGCCAGGCACAAGGATTCTGCGGAACAGCTTGAGGGCCAGGCGGAAGCAAGCAGGCGCCTACTGCCCCACCTTCGGCCCAAGCCTGACCCCGGACCAGCCCTCACTGCCCCAGGCCTAGGATGGTGCCTCCTCTGAAGGCAGACTCTGTAGAGCCATGGGGATGGGAGTCATGGGACCCGGTTCCAGGATGTGCTGCTGCGGCCCATTCATGAATGCTCTCCCTGCAGAACCAGGCTCTGGGCCAGAGCCCCACAGGAGACAACGACCATACTGGAGGATGATGAGCACGCTGGGGACAGAGACCCTGCTGGGGGACAGTGACCAAACTGGGGGATGGAGACCACACTGGGGGATGGAGATCACACTGGTGGACAGTGATCTCACTGTGGGACAGAGACCATGCTGGGGGATGAAGGCCCTGCTGGGGGACAGTGACCACAGTGGGGGACGGAGATCACACTGGGGAACAGTTGGCCTTGCTGTGAGACAGTGACCACACTGGGGGACAGTGGGCTTGTAGGACAAAGATCACATGGGGGGATGGAGACCATGCTGGGGGACAGAGAACACATTGGGGGACGGAGACCATGCTGGGGGACGGAGTCCACGCTGGGGGACAGCTTCCATGCTGGAAGATGGCACAATGTCACGAGGCTCCTGCCAAGAGCAGCCTGGTCCTGGAGGACAAGCCCGGAAGCCCCCGCTGCACCCAGTCCAGCTGCCTGCTGCTCCGGGTCCTGTGGAACCTGCATTGTCTTCAAAGCATGAGGACAGCATGAAGTCCCCAAAAGGCTCCCAGCTTAGGAATATCAAAAAATACACTTCCTGCAGGGGGCAGGAAGCAGTCAGCACATGCAGGGCTGCTGAATTAATCACATTTAGACTCCTTCTTTGAAGTAAATATTGCCAAACTCAGCGGCCTTTAAAGCTCAGCCATACCTACTGGTGCAGCAGAGCTGCTGACGGTGGGGCAGGGTTTTAACGAATGCTGCGGTTTTCCTGTGTCCTACAAACACAGCCCCATTGACACACTTCACCTGACTCAGCAATCGCGCCTGTCTGCATGTGGAGTGGTGGAGACACTGGCGCACACAGCCTGGGCAGTGGCAGGTGGCAGAGCTGCCATGTTTGAGGGGGACTTCTCAAGACAGTAGAAAAATGCTAATAGAACGTTAAATGTCTTGGGGAAACCATGGTCATTCTGAGAAAAAGGAGGCACTAGTAATGGGATTTGTCCACTGTCCAGACTCCTCAGCCACATGCATTTTACCAAACAGCAGCTGTGAGGGGAAGAAAGCTCCCTCGTCCTGCCTTCTAAATTTTAGGTGGGTTCTGCCTACACCCACTGTGAGCATGTCTACAAGAGGATGCACTGCGCGGCGAGCCCCTCGGGAGAGATGGCTCTGCAGGCTGGGTGAACGTAAGGAGTCCCTAGACTGACAGGTCCACAGGCCCTTCCACAGCGACAGGCACGGTCTACAATCCACCAGGTGAAGTGGCCTCTGGGCACTTGCAGTGGCTGGGGACTACGGAACACGTGGCCAAGGCTGCTATGCAGGACAGGGTGGCTCTGGACATTCGGCTCACTTCCCGTCAGCCAGCCACTCGGGGGATGCCACGACGTCCAACAAGGCTGCACTGCGGGCGTGGGGCAATTACACAGAGCTGCCTCACTTCCATGAAAGCCCATTTTATAAAATACAGGCACAACACACATAGTTCAAATGAACACAGGAAAGCAAGTCCAACTGGGATACAATTATGTGCTCGTGAGAAAACTTGAGTTTCCCCAAGTGACCCCCAAGGAGGCCTCTCGGAGCAGGACGCCCAGCCTTCCGGTCCCTGAGCTCGGTTGTCCTGGGACCTGGCACCAGCCTCGCACTTCGGTGACTGGTGCCTTCATGTTCCCCAAGATCAGGGAAGGAGGCAGTGCCGAGACATCCGCGCTCAGGGGCAAGAGGGGCTGCGTGGCTGCCGGAGTCCTCCAAGTGCGCATCAGCAGCAGGGAAAGTGACCTGTGAGCTTGGCGGAGCGTGCACGGCATGAGGCTCTGTCTTACTTGGGGCTCTCACAAGGACGACGTATCAATGTATCAACAATTTGCCTCCAAGTTCCTAAAATGATCATCTGCTACCTAAGAAGGAGTTAAAATCATGAACCCCAGATAACACCAACACGAGCACAAATGGAAGACAGACTCCTGCGCTCAGAGCACAGAGCAGAAAGGAGCCCTAGCAATGCTCTGCAGAGGGTGCGGCCACCAGTGCCCTGTCCCCACAGCCACAGGACCGGTGCTGGGATGTGGGTGGGCAGCTGTAGAGCCGCACATTTAGCCGGCAGCGTGTGCCCTGCACGTCCGTCCACGCAGTAGTCCCTTCTCCAGGACGCTCTGCTACACTCTCTCTATGGCACGGTGGGGGGCTCCATGCTGGAAAATCTGGGCTCACAGCCCAGCTCCATCGATTGCCATTCACTGTGCAGTCCCAGCGCTGAGGCAGGGCCGCTGCAGCCAGGAGTAAGAGGGACATGCTTGTGTGCTAGTGACTGCGTCTGCCGCTACCTGTCCACCCACAGCCATGAGTGGTGCCCACGGTGTGTACCTGGTTTGCTTCACAGAACTTGATTTTATGACAACTGTCCAGACTCACCGCACCAGAAAGCGGGGACTCTTCCCACTGAATGAAGGAGTCAGGGCATAGAGGTTTTGTGCATCATCACCACTGGAGAAAAATAACACTGCTGCAGTTTCAGATAAATAAAATAAATAAATAGAATTTACTGAGAAAAGAAAGTTTGTTTATCTAAATGTTGGAGAACGCAGGTTTCTTTGAGGGGAATTTTTATATCGAGTGTATTTTTATTTGCTGCATGAGGAGGCCCCTGGGGCTGGGAGGGTCGCAGGACAGTTCTCCCTTATGTCTAACCTCACTTCCAAGCCTACGAATGTTCCTTCCCTTTGACACAACTGCACACAACCACCAGGCTCCATAACTGACTGGTTATGATGAGGTTGTGTAGACTTGCGAATAGAAAAGAACATTTCCTGAAATAATCCCATTGCTTGCTTCTTCTTGCTTTAAAAAAAAGAAAGAGAAAGGGTCAGCATGAAAGCAGGGAGCAGCTGTGAACACCAGAGCCACAGGGGTCCCGCCCTCAACGCTGTGCCAGCCTGTCTTGCAAAGGCACCAGATGGCAGGTAGAGATTGATGAGAGACACTGACATGCAACAACCTGGTCCCTTCTGCTTTGGACAGTGACCTGCCCTTTAAGGTGGTTACAATCAGGACAAAATGTTTTTTGTGTTCATCCTTATTTGAACAGGTTCTGACATTCTTCATCTCTTTGAGTGGATGGGAATTTCTGGTGTCACTGGTGCTCAATTTGTATTCAGGAGAGGAAACTCTTTAAGGGACAGAAGAATGAAGAAAGAGGTCTCTAACACACGGACGGACGAAGCTCCCAGGCGTGGGACCGTGAGGGCGGGCAGAGCCCAGCCCCGCCAGGAGCCCCGTCCCCACCCCAGAGCACTGAGGGAGTGGGGTCAAGAGCATGGGGGAGCAAGCGCTCAGAGGTGCCTGGGTGTGCCACGTCCTCCGGGCCACGCAGCATGGGCACGGCTGTTACACGACCTGCCTCTCTGCTTCCTCCCTGAGGTCTGGGGGACTGGGGTCCCTTCCTCCCAAGGATCCTGGAGTTGGGCTGACTTACAAGCCCACCGTGTGTCCCCATGACCTCCCAGAGGCCTCTGGGCCCACCCGGAAGAACAGTCGCTGTCCTCGGCCCTGTCCTATCCACTTGGGGGCTATCCCCTGCACATACCCCAGCAGTTCTCATGGGGCCTGGACTGGGCAAGGCCCTGAAATCCTTCCTCTACCAAACAAAGCACAAACCAAATTGCCCTCGGGGCCACCCTGCCAGTGTTAGTGCCACTGTGAACCCCTCCTTGGTGCAGACGCATACATGAGGCTCACATCCACTGGGACGAGGTATGGGTATAGAGGTGAGGGACAGGCCTGTGGGGTGCTTTATCCTGCTTGAGAGAATGTCCTAGAACCTCCCCATTCACCCCAGAGAAGGAGGTGACAACACCCATGGATTTATCTATGACCACTCAGCAGAGTTGGCAAAGGTGCTGAGCACCTGCGGGGCCTGGGAATTCTTGAGACCCTACATCTGCACTAGCCGCTGGCTCTGGGATAGGACTCTGTTAAATGACATATGCTGCACCAAGATGACACTCCAAACACCCAAAAAGCTGAGGGCAGACACTCAAGCAGTGAGAAAAACCAGAAAAAAAAAAATGCATGAAGATACATACCCAACAATAATGTTAAACTCTTGCAGATTTTTTTCTAAATGGTTTTCACTTACCAAAAGAATACCTGAAAAACAAAAGAAGAAAAGTGTGTTAAAATTTTGGCTTGCTTTGACCAAAAACTTATGATAAGTTAAACCACCATATTTCTCCACCAAGTTGAGTGCTGCCCCCCCCAACCATGCGCCCAGGACAGTGGGGGGGAGGGGGCAGCCCTGTGGGCACTAAGCAGGACACAGAAGCCCCCGCCCACACGGCCTGAGCAGGGGCAGGCCCTCAGTGGGCCAATCAAAAGATATTTTGGGGATGAGCGAACGTAACACTTGATTTTCCTGCAGTGTAAATAATTTCCATCAAACACCAAGGAAAATGTCATAGCCTGGAATCTGAGAATTTAAGGGTACCCCATTACCTTGAGTACAGATGACTGGAAAAGGGACCTTAAATGAAAGGAATTTGGTGGGTTTTGTCTCCACTGCTACGATCTGAGAAAGACCTGTGTCCTTCCTACCGAATGGCATGGGAACAGTGGGACCGTCCCAGCAGATGGGGCTCTGGTGAGGCCTGGTTCGCTTTGCACACTTGGAGGGCAAGGTCAGAGTGAGCAGCAGACATGTTTAAAAGAGCCCAAGTCACAACATTTGAACCCCTGCAACACATCAGAACAAATACGGGGAACGGGTTGCACCTGGCTGCGAGCAGACTCCTCATTACGTCTCAGTCTCTGGCCCCGGACCCAGCCCAGTCACAACAGAACCCATGCTTGAACAGAGAAGAAAACTGGCCTCGGCCAGCTGTTACAAACGCTGGGCCCGTCCTCCCACAGCAGAAGGGATGGAGGCTCTGACATGCTGCAGCGTGGATGAGCCCTGAAAACACAGCTCAGTGAGCCAAGCTGCACACAGAAAGCCACACGGTGTGGGACTCCATTTACATGGAATGTCCTGAACAGGCAAGTCCAGAGACACAAGGTTGAGGAGTGGCTGCCAGGGGCTGGGGAGGCGGGCGGGGTGGCTGCTAACAGGCACGGGTTTCTTCTGGGGTGATGAGAATGTTTCAAACCTTGATAGTGGTGGTGGCTTCAGAACTCTGTGAATATATAAAACCATCAATGTGTACACTTTAAAAAGCTAAATTTTATGGTGTGTGAATTATATCTCAATAAAGATGTCAAAAAAACATAGTTGCTTAATGAAATGCATAGGAATGAAAGGCCGCAGGTTCTGAGATTTGCCTTGAAACCCTCGGTGTGGGGAGGGCAGGATCGCAGGGCAGGAGAGGACAGGGAGCCGGCTGCAGGTCCCAGGGGCTCCCCACACCCTCCTGCTTTTGAATGCATTCATGATTTTCCATTCTGGAATAAAAAGACACTGCAGGCGATGGTAAGAAAAGACATTTCTAAGCATTAGGGAAAATGAGTAGGACGGGTGGCCCGTCCTTCAACTCCAACGGGTGTGCTGATGGTCGGGCGGTTCTGGTGTTTTCTTCTTAAATAACCCCTTACCTGGTAGAGATACCCACTACCAACAGGCAAGATAATGCGTCTAGGATTTGCTTTTAACTGCAGAAAGCAAAGCTGCGAGGGGATGGGACACGGGGCTGCGCTGTCCTCCCTGCTTCTGAATGTTTCCTAATTTCCATAAGGAAACCTTTTAAACAGCCATCGTACACACCGGCTGGTTCCAGAAATAAACATACCCAATAGATTCTCCCAAGAAATAACCTTGTTGAACAGAGAAAGGGAAAGAGGCTGATTTTTAAAAAACCCATAAAGAATAAAAGTTTTACATTTTTATCAGATCACATTCGAAGGGACTAAGGTGGAAAGCTGTCAGGGACCCACCACAGCCCGGACCACCACAATGCAAGTGTCTGTGTGGGACAAGGGGCGCACCTAGAGATGCCACCACCTTCACGTCTGCCGAGGATATGTGAAATTGGGTTCTTTTGTAACTTCACCTGTTTTAAATTTTGAATTTCAAAGCTGCTTGATAGATTTTTCAAATATCAGGTTGTTTTAGCTAATTACATGAAAAACTAAAAAATCTTCATTAGTTTTATAGCTTTTATTATATTTTTCAACAGCTGCAACTTATTTTATAAGATACTGGCTTTCATGGAGTTATTTTGGGGGGTTATTCTGTTTTGTTCTTTGCAACTTATTTTATAAGATACTGGCTTTCATGGAGTTATTTTGGGGGGTTATTCTGTTTTGTTCTTTGCAACTTATTTTATAAGATACTGGCTTTCATGGAGTTATTTTGGGGGGTTATTCTGTTTTGTTCTTTAAAGAAGCTCTGATCCTTCCTTGTTCCGAGGGATGTAAATTTTGCTCCCAAACAGTCTATGTTAACATGTCACCTCTAACGGTCTGTTGAAACAGGGTCCTGCTCCAGCCGTGAGGCTCCCTACACCTGACTTGTAATTCACCAGGTGGCTCTCTACTAAGGCAGCAGAAGGAACCGGGAACTGGAGGAACCTTGACTGGGCTGCCTAGGCCTCCGGGAAACAGGGCACATCACTCCTGAGCTTTTGTCCCCACTCCTCCTGCTTCATTCTATCCTTGCAATTTTTTTATATGAGACTCCTATTTTTATAGGAAGCCTTTCACATAAGAGTACATTAGTTTTCAGCTACTCTTCATTTGTAAAAAGGCTTTGTGTACAAATATTTGTTCAATTATGCTCCCCTGGTTGTGGACAGTCTAGCTGTAAATTTGCAAGAATTCCTCCACTTTCTTGCTTAGCAAAAAGAACTTCCCCAAAGGCCTCCTGAGGAGGCATGTGGTAGGGAATTAATAATAGACCACATTCTTCTAAACCACCCCAGGACTCCTGACTTGTGTCTGTGGCTTATCATCCCTGTCACCTGGTGATGGCCAAACACATGCGTTTCTTTACAGAAGAAGCTCGTGATGAAGACGCCACAGGACTAAGAGCACGGCTTTCAGGGTGACAAAGCCGCCACAAAGGTTCTGTGTCCACCTACATCTGCAGGAGAAGCACTTGGAAGACCCATCAGGCCCCTACACCTCCCATCCCACTGCCAGGACGTGGGACCCCACCAGCACCGGCAAGGCCACGGCTCTTGGTCCCGCTGTGCAGGGCCACGGCATGGCCTGTCCAGCACAGGGAAAGAAATGGACAGGGCTTGCTGGAGACCACAGGGACAGGGCTGCACCACACACACCAGGCCCAGGTGTCAGCAAGTCAACTGGCTCACCGTGAACACATCGTGGCTTCCCTAGTGTTTAAGTTCATGCAACAAAGAAGACAAAATGTACTAATAAGAGATGCCTTTCCTAATGTCTGCCACCGCTTACAGAATTGCAGTGAGGCACTGACAAATCCCACATGGCTGCTGGGAGGCCTGAGGAGTGAGAAACACTGGGCTCCAACCCAGACAGCAACACGGAGCAACGCAGGGTGAACGCGGAGCACTGCCTTCCCGCTGCATGCTCAGCTCCCTGAGGAAGTGCGATTCAGCCTACAGCACCATTTAAATAACCCCTAAAAGCTGAGGACACAGTGCTGGTGGTTGTTTTGACACAGCACCAAAGGCAGAAACAAAAACGGGGGAAGACTCTCAGGCTCAACTCCATGAAAGCAACCTCGTGTGTCACATGCAGCAATGGGAAGCAACAGGGGTTACATTGCACATGCGTGTACTCTAAAAAGTACACGCCACTGAGGGGCAGAGGGTTATAGGCCTGACATGTCAAGGTCTATTGCAGAAGAGAAAGCAAAGAATATTCACACCAAAGGAAACTGGCAAAGTCACGACAGAAACAAAACTGGCAAAATCAAACAAACAAAAATTAATCGTCAGTGAAATGTGTGCTAAATGATGTTATTTCTCATTCATCAAACCCTTAGAGAGTTTCCTGGAGAACGCAGTACTCTGTGCAGGGACGGTGCACCTACACGACGGGCCACGGTCAGCGGCGCCTTCCTGCAGCACTCGGGTGCGTCCCTGCACGGCACACACCCTGACCTGACAGCCCCACCTGTGGGAGTCTGGGCCACCCCATAAGTCGTGGTGTGTGAAAGATCCATGAACTATGAAGCTGGTCATTGAAGCGTCATTTCCAGTGGTGAAAAACCAGAAACCACAGAAGTATCCAGCGGTGGGGAATGGTTAAATCAATACATCTCACAGATGCTCAATCACCACCACACAGCACTGAACACCCACAGCAGAGGTGGGCACAGTGCGGGTGACTGGTGGGACAGTGTGACTGTCCTGTGTAGACAGAAGCATAGTCAGCAGAGGCGGTGGCACCAGCACCAACAGCTGCTCTCCTGCAGTGGCATGGAGGCCATTCTGATGTCACCAGCTCTGTGTCTGCTCTCGTGTCAGAACAACAGCACTGCCAAAGGCTGTTGTGAGGGACATCCGCTGACATGGGGAGATGGATATTCATAATTTGATCTGAGTGAAAGGACTCTCAAGCAGTTATTTCAAATATTGCTGTAAAAGGCTGTGTAATAAAACCTACTCAAGAACTAAGGGAAACACACAGTGAATAACAGCAGTGGGCTGTTACTTCTGTTAAAAAGAAACCCGGGGCAGTGAGCTGCACGGCAGTCTCCAAAAGATACGTCCACATTCTGATTCCTGAAACACTGTCTTATTTGGAAAAGGGGTTTCTGCAGAGGTCATTAAGTCAAGGGTCTGGAGATAAGATCATCCTGGGTTATCCAGTGGGGCCCTAAATCCAGTGACTGGTGTGCTTATCACACAGAGAAAGAGGCACTGGGAGATCTGACTCAGATGCAGAGGAGGTCATGTGACCAGAGGCAGAGACTGGGGTGACACAGCCACAAGCCAAGCAGCGTCACAGCCGCCAGAAGCTGGAAGAGGCAGGAAGGCTCCTCCTTGGACACCTAGATCTCAGATTCTGGCCCCTTGGAATGTGAGAGAATGAATCTCTGCTGTTTGAAGCCCCTGTATGTGGTCGTTTGCTGCAGCCACACAATGTCAGCTGTGCATCTCTCATGGGGTGAGGTGACACATCTCCAGCCCCAGGTGACCTCACAGCACTGATTCACCTGCCAGGGAGCCAGC